ATTGCATCATTCATTGTTTTGCCTAAAAAGCAAGTACTGTCCAAACCCAGTCATAGATTTATTCATAGATCCAGTCAAAGATGTATTTTAGTCATTTCTGGTTTAAATTGAGATCCCTTCCCTTTATAACTCACTTATCCTCCGCCATTCCCAAGTCAAGGGTCGTATATACTGACCCAATAGCATATCTTGAAAACTAGAGCCAATCAACAATTTTAAGCATCATTTTCATTCTCAATGACCCAGAATTAGTAAAGTTTGACTACATTTATTTCAGAAGCATTTTGGCTGTAGAGCAGTGTAATAGAAAGAGCGATGGACTGGGATTTTGGTTTCCAGTTCTTTTCCCATCTCTTTCCCAGCTTGCTGATGACATTGGGTAGGTAATGTATCCTCTCTCTTTCTTCATGGCTGTTTTATTTTTAAAAAGTTAACTAAAAGAAAGGGTGATTTGCAAGTTACCTTATGTCCTTATTGTTGTATCCTTGGGACCTATGAATTTGCTTGGCTGCACAAATGGTTTTTATATTTACTTGCTAAACGTGTTTCTTATTCACTGTATTTTTGTTTTCATTTAGATCCTGAATTTGCTTGAAGTTAGTAAAGATTCCAGATATAAAACTAACAAACTCCGAGTGCAGAACAGGAAAGAGCTTATTGAAATATTATCAGCCCGGTGAGTTTATTAAACTGGAAAATATTACCGTAGTATATTAATCAACATGGTAATGTACAAAAACGTTGTCTCATAATTTGCAGGTTTGCCACTACTTTTAATCTTTTGGAGTATTTTCTTTTTGTAATTTATTTAGACACTTACTCCTTTTAAAAATGTTGTGCTTCATGTATCGGACTAGTAAGTGAGCAAGCAGCTAAGTAATAGCTTTACATTAAAGTTACACCGTGGCTTCAGTAACCTGGATCTCATTTAAGAAGGCAGTGCTTTCCACTTGCACTTCTGGTCGGTTGTGGATAAGGGTCACTCTTGGACAGAAGGCTCTTGGTGTTGAATTTGCTGCCTTCAGGGATGGAGTTTGAAGTTTATTCTGAGGGCTCTCAGTTCCAAGGGATCTTCTACTTCGGAGATCTTAATCTACTGTTTCTGCATTGAGTTAACCTAAGAGTTCCTGGAAGACCTGCAGCCATTTAGTTCAGATTTTCTAAAAGACCTGAAGGTCATCCTGGTATGTTTAAGATCTCATGTCTGTGGAGTCCTCCTCTACTTAGATGAAGAGGATGGTGATTATGAAAAATAGGAGGACCAGCTATTTGCTTTGTGTCCTGTTCTGGATAATAATGTGGGCTACCCATCTGTATAACCCAACACAGAGATAACTTCAACAGCTCTCAGGACTTGTTGGAGTGAACAGCAGAGACATTAAGGCTTGAGCTTTCAATGGTCCAAGAAAAGGAACCACCAATATTTTGATATTTTAAGACTGGGGCATGTGTCAGTGCCTATAATTCTCTATTATTCACAGAGCAGATTATTTGTGCGCTAGAGAACCTCCTTTCCACTTCACCTGGTTACTGTATGTTTTGGTACCAATTATCTTTTTTTTCAGTTGTAATGAAACGGAATTACTTTGCACTCATGGGATCCTAAAGAATATTTAATTCTTCCCTGAGTGATTGCTCCTGTGTATTCCACAGTAGGTGTACGTGCTCGCCACTTGCACCGGTGCCGGAAGTTTTTCCCCTAGCAGTACCTGTAGGGGAGCGCTCCAGCGACTCCTGGAGTGGCGCCTCCATGGCGTGGTATAAGAGGCGCTGCGCGCTCCCCCCATCCTCAGTTCCTTCTTGTCACCAGTGAAAGTGCTTCGAAACTGCTCTGCTCCAGCTTTGCTGTAGCTCGTCCTCAAAACTGCTTGTTCTTTCAGTGTATGGTACCTGTAGTTAGTTAGTTAGTTTAGTTAGTTTAGTTTAGCTAGAGCTCCCAGGCCGGGGCATGCCCCGGGTTTTAAGTCGTTCAACACTTGTAGGTGATCTATGCCACTGAGTGATCTGCACACGGACTGTCTACGCTGTTTGGGGGAAACCCATCTCAGCGATCACTGCAAGATTTGCCAGTCGTTTAAGCCTCGGACGAAGAGAGAAAGGGACATTAGGCTCTGGGCTATTCTGATGAAGTCGGCGCTGACCCCGGCTCTGGTGTGCCACTCTGAGTTGGCACCGGGCACCACGGTCTCGATGTGTGGCGACCCTTTGGCGCCATTGACTAGTTGGCACCGCTCCCTGTCCACAGGGCACGTCAGGAAGGCTAGAAAGAGGCCTTCTTTGCTGCGGCACTGGAGTAAACCCGGGACAGAGGCTAGACCCATGTCGGGCAGTCCTTGATCCCCACCGGTCTCTAGGCCTCCAACTCAAGTTGAGCGGAGTAGCCCGGCCCATTTGGAATCAGGCCTCCCTGGATGTCCGGATGCCCTCCACATGAAGGCCCTGCAGGCGGCCTGGGATGTTATGTCCATGCTGGTACCGGGAGCACCGCCGATGTCGGCCCCGCACTCCAGAGGCAAGTTGCCGCTGCGATCTCTGCAGTCACCCCCGGCTCGGTACCAGTCTCGGTCAACGGAACATTCCCAACGCCGTTTGCCGCCCAGCGACTGTTCAGGGCAAAGTCCACGTGGATCACCCTTGACGCCCACCAGACTGTCTGGTTGGGTTCCGTCTGACCGAGACTCTCGGCATAGCTCCACCTCGAGGAGTGAACACCAACAGGACAGAGGCAGACAACGCCAAAGGTCCTCGTCTCGGAGGGGCTATCACAGCTGTTCACGGCATGAACGTTGACGTCATTCCCATTCGGTATCCTGCTCCAGGATCCCGCCACAGCATCGCCTCCACAGTCCCGGGCATCGATTGCCGGCGTGGGTCCGCCCACCAGAGCCAATCACGGAGCAGCTGTTACCGACAGTACCGGTCCTCCACGTCGGGATCGCGGTCCCGTGATCGGCATCGCTCCTGGTGCCACTGATCCTCCCGGTCCAGGGACAGTGGCAGGTCGTATGTCAGCCTGGACTCCCTTCGTAGTCATCCATCGATGGGCCAAGCCAGCCAGGCCAAACAGCTGGCTTTGCTGGTGCCACATCAGGTGCAGTGGCACCGGGCCCTGTGGCCAGTCCAATGGTACCAATGGGCACCGTGACCCCCAACGCAGCCCCCGGTGGGGGCTTGCTTGGTGGCCGGAGCCTCAGAAGGACCATCGGCCTCCCTCTCCAGACCTCCAAGGAAGGAGTCAGTGGGACGTACATCCTCGGCACTGTGCCCGGAGACTGACCAGGCGGTGGACCCTCCGGTGCCAATGGACACACAAAGTACTGCGCCGGCCTCCTCACCCTCCCTGGATGAGGTGATTACGGCCCCTCCTCCCTCCGTCCCACAGGAGGACTTTAGGGCCCACCAAGAACTCTTTAAAAGGGTGGCATCAAGCCTCCATCTCCAAGCAGAGGAGATGGAGGAGCCCTCAGACTCCCTGTTTAATGTATTGTCCTCCTCGGTACCTGGCTGGGTGGTCTTGCCTCTCCACGAAGGGGTGGCGAAAATTTCAAAGGCCCAGTGGCAAACCCTGGCCTCATTGGCCCCCATCTCTAAGAGAGCAGAACGCAAGTCCTTTGTACCCGCATGAATACTTATACACCCACCCTGCTCCTAACTCTCTGGTGGTCGAGTCGGTCAACCACAGGGAACAGCAGGGCCAACCAGTCCTTACCCCGAAAAATAAAGATTCAAGGAGGCTGGACTCATTTGGAAGAATAATTTATTCATCCTCAAGCTTCCAGTTATGGGTGGTGAACCACCAGGCTCTCCTGGGCTGGTATGAGTTCAATCTGTGGGGCTCCCTGCCCAAGTTCGAGGACTCCCTCCAGGAGCACGACAGGAAGGAGTTCAAAGCACTGATGGAGGAGGGCACAGCAGCTGCCAGGGCAACCATGCAGACAGCTTCGGATCCAGTGGACATGGCCGTGCGGTCCAGGGCCTCCGCGGTGTCCATGAGAAGGGCGTCATGGCTCCTGCTCTCTGGGCTGTCCAGTGAGCCGCAGACCTCCCTGCAGGATCTCCCATTTGACGGCAAAGCTCTGTTTGTGGAACAAATGGATACAAAGCTGCATGGCCTGAAAGACTCCTGCACAACTCTCCAGACTCTGGGACTCTATGTTCCGGCTCCGGCTAAACCTAAGTTCAAGCCGCAGCAGACTCCCGCTCAGGCCACCCATGCAAAATACGAGACCGCTTATAAGAAGTCGCAGGACTGTAAGAGGTGCCCAAAGAGGCAGTCTCGGCCTGCCCCTCAGCCTGGGTCCTCCAAGGGCAAGCAAGCGGGGAAAAGGCGGTTTTGACAGGACGCCCGGGGGAGCCTTGCCAGTTCTCATCAGGGATCCACCCTCAATAAAGCTTCTCTTCTCCAATCGGTTGTGTGCTTTCCTCACGGAGTGGTCGCGGCTGAGCTCGGACTGATGGGTCCTCAACACCATCTCCCGGGGCTACACCCTCCAGTTCACTTCCTCCCCGCCCAACCACCTCCCGCCCCCGTCCCTCCTGGGGGACCCCTCGCACAAGGCTCTGCTCAAACAGGAGGTGGGGCGGCTCCTGGGCCTAGGAGCGATGGAAGCGGTACCGGGGGAGTTCAAAAGCAAGGGGTACTACTCCCACTATTTCCTTATCCCGAAGGCCAAAGGAGGGGCTCAGGCCCATCTTGGACCTGCGAGGCCTGAACCAGTACATGGTGAAGCTCAAGTTCCGCATGGTCTCCCTGGCCTCCATCATCCCATTCCTGGATCCTGGGGATTGGTACGCCGCCCTCGATCTGCAGGACGTGTACTTCCACATTCATATATTTGAGGGGCACAGACGCTTCCTCTGTTTCATGGTGGGGCAGGAACACTACCAATTTACAGTCCTCCCGTTTGGCCTGTCCACTGCCCCCAGGGTATTCATGAAATGTATGTTGGTGGTGGCGGCCCACCTCAGGCGCCGGGGGGTCCAGATCTTCCCCTATCCGGATGACTGGTTGGACAAGGGCAGCTCCTGGTCGCAGGTGCGGGATCACGTGGCACTCCTCCTGTCCACATCCGCCACTCTGGGCCTGTTGGTAAATGACACCAAGTCCATGTTAGTCCCGGTACAATGCATAGAGTTTATCGGGGTAGTCCAGGATGCTTTGTTGACCAAAGCCTCCCTCCCACCAGACAGGTTCGAGACCCTAAAGGAGCTCATCGGCACAGTCACAAGGTTTCCAGTGACAACACCCAGAGAATGCCTCCAGCTCTTGGGTCACATGTCGGTGTGCACATATGTGGTCTGTCACACCAGACTCAGGATGAGGCCACTCCAGCTCTGGTTGGCCTCAGAGTTCTCCCAGGCCAGGGACAGGATGGACAAAGTCCTCATGGTGCCCGAGCCAGTGATCACCTCCCTACGGTGGTGGTCCTCCCTGAGAAACATGCTCCAAGGGGTCCCGTTCAGGGGCAGGGCCCCGTTGCTGGAACTAGTGGCTGACGCGTCGGACCTGGGATGGGGGGCTGTAGCGGGGTGGTCACCCGCTCCGTCCCTGGAAGGGTCAAAGCCAGCCCTGGGAGAGGGCTGAGGCTGCGAAGCAAAGCCTGGGCTGATTGGGGAAGGCAGTAACAGCTGGGGCCATGCCCCAATCAGGCCCAGCTGGTCCCTATAAGAGGCTGC